GGCTCCTGTTCAGTCTTTGCTGGTACATGTCTACAGGGGCAAAAGTCACTTCCCTAAAATGCTTGTTTTTGCTGGCTGATCTGGGTGTGGGAGAAGCTGCTGAAAACATTGTGTCTGGTTCTCCTTACGCCACTAGGTGGAGGGTAGGGAGCTATAAGACTTAGTTACTGCTACTGCTGCCTGTGGTGTCCCCGTTCTGGGGTGGAGACTGAGACAGCCTGGGGCTTTGCTGCCGCTGGGAGATCAGAACACCCCCTGCAGCAGCTTGGGGACCCCCATCCCCACTGGGCCTCTGGTGGGCGTCTCCCTCCTCAGTCCGTGTGTGTAAGTGTGTATGGCTGTTGGTGATTTGGGGTTGCAGGCCTCTTTGGCACCCAGCATAGGGGTGTATGGCAGACAACAAGAACACTGAAGAAAGTACCATGTGGTCACTCCTGGAGTCCTGAAGTTCCCAGGCAGTTCATCTTCTTCTGTCCTGCTTTCAGAGTCCTTTCATCATTGTCTGTTGAATAATTTCTAGGGTATATACTCGTATTTGAAGGAGAACAGAAGGGAAATGTGGATCTACATCATCTTGTTCCAGAACCAGAAGTTTCCTAGTATAGTTTTAAAGTACATTTCTTTTTTCAGAGTGAATTTGAGCATCTTTTTGATAAGTTTTAAAGCCATTTTAATTTCCTTTTCATATTTCATTTTGATATTGTTTATTGAAAACAGTTGCCCATTTTTATATTGGGCTGGTGGTCTTTGACATATTGACTTGTAAGTGTTGTTTTCATACTATGAATTGCAGGTATTTCCCCCAGCTTATTGTTTATCTTTTGATTTTGCCTTTTTTATGTTATTTTTTTGCCATGCAGTTTTAAAAACTGTAGTTGAATATATTAATATTTTCCATAGCTTCTGGGTTTTGTGTCATTCTTGGAAAGGCCTCCTAACTTCATGATTTTCTTTTAAAATCCCTCATATTTTCTTCTAGTATTTTCATGGCTTCATCTTTTAGTTTTTGAATCTTTCATCCATCTGGAATCCATTTTGGTGTGAAGCATGAGGTAATGTTTACAGTTGTCCCAAAGCATTTATTGAATAGTCCATGATTTCCCCCCTACTTTAAAATGCCATCTTTAAAAAACATTGTGGTAAAAAACATTACATAAAATTCACCATCTTCACCATTTTTAAGTGTATATTTCAGTAGTGCTAAGTTATTCACACTGTTGTGCAACAGATTTCTATAACTTTTTTATCTTGCAAAAGTGAACTCTACTTATTAAACAACTCCCCATTGGAATGCTACCTTTTCATCATAGACAAATTTCCTGTCTTTGTTACCTCTTGCCTGGACCGCTGTAATGGCTTACTTGCATCACTGTAATTCCAATCTGTCTTGTACACTAGAGCCTGATTCCTTTTCCTTGTGCAGGCCCTGACCACAAAACTCCTTTATTCAAAACCTTCAGAAGGCCTCCCTGATACTGCAGTTGAAATTAAGCCACCCATTACACCCTGTCATAGTACTTGTACCTTTTTTCCATTACTTCTCATGATTTGTAGTTTTAGTTATCTGCATGATTATTTTACTGTTATCTCTTTGCTAAACTTCAAGCTTCATGAGAGCAAAGGCAATGTGCTCACCACGTATTTCCAGTGTTTAGTGAGCACCTGGTACATAGCAGGTGCTCAGTGCATGTTTGTGGAATGATGGGCTCTCCCTGGCCTGTGGAATAAAGTAAAAATGACTGCAAGATGTGGTTCCAACCAGATCTTTTCTCTCAACCCACTGCCCTTCAAGAAAGTCAAGCTGCTGGACTTTCCATCCTTCCCTGGAAGAGCCATAGGCTTTCTAAGGCTTGGCTGTAGTTTACTTCATGCCCTGATTTTATCTTTTTATTTGTGCTTCAATTGCTCCCTATGCTTGAAGGCCATGCCCTCCCCTCAGTTCCCCACCAGCATTACTGTCTTATAGAAATCCAATTCATCCTTTAAGACTATGGCAGTCTCTACCACTGGACTTTGAATTTCTTGAGAGAAGTGATAGGGTCCCCCTAATTTGTCTCTAGGGACCAGCATAACTCCTGGTCTGTAGGAGGTGCTCTTGTTTACATCTTTCCACCCACTCCCTGGCTACAAACTCCTTGAGGGCAGACAGTGCTCCTTGCCTGCATACCTCTGGGAGCCTTGCTTCCTAGTCCCGGGGGATCAGCCCTGGGCAAGACTTCAGGCATCTTCTGAAAACTGAATGAACATGTCTTGTGCTTGAGAGGATTGAACAGGAAATGGTGGGGCAGGGGTGGAGGCTTCCCTGACTTTCCCCAGGTTCTCTTGTTCCCACCCTTCTCTAGCAATAACCAATCATCACCCCCACACCCTCCCCTCCTTACCCTTACCGAGCAGAGCCCAGGCTGTCCCTAGAGGATGCTCCCTGCTGCCCTCTCCCTCCAAGCCCTGTGGAGAGGAGTCTGCTTAGTCACTCTTTGGGCCCCTGGCATCAGCAGGCACAGTTGCTATGCCCAAGTCCCTGTTCTCCCTCCTCATTCAGAAGCACCTTCTCCAGCGATGTCCAGGCCATTTCTCATCATCAGCTGCTTCCCAACTGTGCCTCTGTCACCTCTATGACTCCAAGGCAGCCCGTCCTCCTCACAGAGGCATTAGCTCCTGGCTTGGGCTTCCTCCCACCCCAAAGGCTGCTGGTATCCTGGGGCTCCCGGGTTCACAGAGGTCAGGGGTGGCAAGCTTGGGACTAGGTGCCAGATCCAGCCTGCCGACCTGTCTTTTTGGCCAGAATCATGTTTTATAAAGGCCCCAGCGGGGGAAGGATGCCAAGCCCTCCAGCCTTTGAGGGTCTGGGCTCCTTTCACATCCTGCCATTCTGCTTTAGACCTCACTCCTAAGCCCACCCCTGCCCTGGGTCACTAGAGCTATTCAGATTCTGAAATCCTCCTGCCCTCCACAGCATCCCTCCTTCCTCTTCACTTGGCGCCTCCCCCAATCCTGGTCTCTCCTCTGAATGCTGGCCCTCGAGTCCACCCTGTTCTTCCACCTGCTCTCCAGCTTTTTTTCTTCCCTTTTCATTTTCCTACCACTGCTTCACCAGCCCCCTCAGAATCCCATGTCTCCCTGTTTACAGACTTAGGTGAATCTTACCATCCACCTTCAGTGGGACCATCCTAAAAATCAAAGTGGGTTAATTCTTTGCTTTCCTACAAACTTCCAGAGGTCCTCCACAAGCCACAGGGCTGGTGGTTCTGTTCTAAGGGCCACTCCAAGAGAGAATAAAAGCACACTCCCCGTTTGGCCCAGAAGGCCCTTGTGTGCTCTGTCTCTTGCAACCTTCTTCCACAGCACCTCCTCCCAAACCCCCCACCAGCCCTATGACCTTGCCTGCTGCACATCTGTTTTTTAGCCACTGCAGCTCCTTTCAGGAACCTGCACCTGCATAACAGCCGCTCTCCCCACTCGTTTTTTCCTGGGTTGACTCCAGCCTTCTTCTAAAACCCACTTGTTTCTATGAGTAGATATGTCTGTGTGTAAAGGTAGAGCAAGGCCAGTGAAGATATGCCAGAGATAAACAGTTGCTACCTCTGTGGAGGGTGAGAGGCAATCAGGGTTGAGGGAGTGTTGGTCAAAATGTACTTTCGCCTTATCTGTAAAGTTTCTGCTTTTCACAAGGAGATTATATCATGTACTTATTACTTGTGAGATATAAAAACACAAAGGAACCAGTTTAATACCAGCAAGCCTTCCTCAGACTTCCCAGGCAGATGGAGCTGTTTATTTTTCTGGGTTCGAATAGTACCTTCCCCCTGTGTTAAAGGAAATGCTGTTTTATTGTGATTTCTTGGTGCCTTCTAGATGGGGCACCCTGTCAAAGGTACAAACTGTACCTAATTCATGCTCCCAGTGCCTAGCAAGTGTCAGGGAGTGCTGAATCCAATACCTTCCCTCTGCCAGGGGCACCTTTGAATGTGCTTGTTATGGGACAGACCTAATGCTAGTCCTGAGAAGCTAATTCGTTTTCACAATATCCAAGGAAGAATGCCTCTGGGAATCTGAAATGTGGGCAGAGGAGTCTCCAGGCTCTTGGGTTGTGTCAACAAAAGGATGAGGCTGGATTGTCCTCCACTCCTGGGGCCAGGATCCAGTTCAGTGCCACTCTTGTGTCATCTGGCATGCTTCTGAAGCCACTGCCTCCTGGGCAGGTAATCTAAGGGCAAGGGCTGCTATATCCCCGAATGATAAACTTGCCAAGCCCAGCCCTGATCTGTATCTCTAAGATGGAGATGCCAGTTCAAAGAAATAGGCTGTCCCCATACCAGGTGGGCCAGGAAGGCTGGAGTTAGGGGACACTTAAGAGGAGCTCAGAGCATCCTAGGCTTAAAGGGGAGGATTGAGCAAAACTGTCTGAGGGACTTGAAAAGGCACATACAATCCTGGTTTAATGGTGGGAGTCTGTAGCTTGGCAATTTTCCAAGCAAATCTGAGCTCCCAGGTCATAGTAGTAGTCTTAAGTCCCATCTATTGCCCATAGGCAAAAGGGCAAAGGGGTGGTTTTGATGGGTCAGTTGGACTGGGACTAGAGAATGGGTGTGAGTGGCTTTTAGAGTTGGAGCAGTGTGTGCCGTGGGGCCAGGGCAACCCTTTAGACCTGGATGTGCAAGTGATGAGGAGGCTGCAGAAGGGTCTGGATCAGTGTTTCTCTCAAGAATGCCCCCAACCAGCCTCTGTATTCAACCTTGCATAGGACGGTGTTCCTGGGGCCTTAGGGCTATGAGGCTAGGTACCTGGGCTCCTGAAGAGATAAGGGCAGTGGCAGTGGCAGTAGGAATGCAGTGAGCAATACTCCTCAGCCCTCCCCTTACATCCCATGCCAGCCAGCTCCCTCCCAGCTGTCCACCCACAGCCGTACCGTAGGCCTCAGAATTACTAAAAGGATATTATACTATGCCACACACCTTCAAACCTCAGTGAAGAGTGCTTCCAATTGGCCCATCTCTTTGTAAGTAACCTTTATTTTTATTTACAACAGAATTGGTGGCTTTATTCCTCCATCTTTAGGGACAGCTGGCATCAGCAGCTAGATGGAAAGTCCGCAGTGAAGTCAAACTCATTCTGCCCCAGCCACAGCTCCGGAAGCTCATTGGCTCGGTCCAGTCCTAGTTCCACCACCAGCGACATCAGCACTTCCTCATCGACCGGGTCCGAATCAATGATAGCAGGGCTCTGGGCACCGGTAGAAGGAGGCAGTGGCCCCACCCCTCCTGCCTGTGCCTCAAAGCCCCAGTTTTGCAGGGGCCCTGCCTCCCCAGTTTGGCCTGGAGTGGTGGCAGACATCCCATGATACTGGCTATTAAGTTTCTGCAGCTGCATACTGGCCAGCAGGTGAGGGGTGGGGTGCAGGTTGAAGGGAGGGGGTTTAGTGGGAGGGGTGGGAGAGCTTATTGGAGACGGAGAGTCTGAGGAACTAGTGGGAGCCCCACTGGCCTTGGTTCCATTTGGGGCTACCCCAGGGTAGTGCAGAATGGCCACTGCTTTGCGATCTTTCATCCCCAGGTTAGGGTAGGCCAGAGAGCTCATCTCTTGGCTGGCATCCTAAGAGACAGAGAAAGGCACAGCATAGTTGTCTTGCTCCTGGCTTGTCCCTCAGCATTCATCAGGCCCAGAAAGCTCCTCTATGTACTTCATCTGGGGCCAGTAGTGGGGAGGCAGCAAAAAGGCCCCCTGGGAGTTAGGTTCCCAGCTCAAGGATCCCAGCTCCCTTTTGCTACCATGGTTCTGAACACTGAGCTCAGACCCAAGTCCTTGTGCTGGGCCCCTACCATCCTAAATGGGTTCCCTGTTTTCATCCCTACCTCACCCCCATCCCTGCCTTCCTTTCACTTCACCATTCAGACAAGGGCATCTCATTCTCAGCCTGACTTCGTTCTTTTCAATGGAGGGTCTTCTGGCAATTTCTCTTCTCTACTTCCAACCCCACCATCTTTCAACATCCCTAGTGGGATTGATTTGCCCACATTTAGGCAGAAGCTACTCTCATTCTCCCCATAGAAAGCTCTGCTGTCTCCTCTCTGCTCAGGGACACCAGACACCACCCTGAGGGCCTACCACATGGCCCCACACGGGTTTGTCTTTCTGTGCTTCAGTGTCTCCATCTGTAAAATGGCAAAAGTTACCTCCTTCACAGGTGAGGTGCCACCCTTGACATCAAGTGCAGGCCTCGACATAGTTGGCATTTCAGAGCCTTGGCAGAAGTTGGGTAAATTGGTGGGAGGTGATGCTGCCAGCTGGAGCTGTTGTGCTGTACATGAAGGAGAAGAGGTAACAAGAGCAAAGGCTTCATTGATGGAGAAAGACTAGCAAAGCCCGAAGCAGGGCAGCTCCACACAGCTACAAGGCAAGTATGGTGATGGGGTTAGACCCAAGACCAGAGACCACCTTCACAAAGGGAGGAGATCAAGCTAGAACATGTGCCTGAGGCAGGAAAGGCACTTGATTCAGGCAGGTGCTGTCTAGGCAGCCAGCTATCCACATCACCACAAAGGGACACATGTGACTGTTTCCTCATACAAGTGATTTTAGAGCCCCAAATGTGTTGGGGGGGAGGGGGGGAGGCAGGGCACTGTTCCTGATACTGAGGGCAGGAATGTCTCTGAGTAAGTAGCACACTGTCTCAATGGGCCACTGGCATCTGGGCTGGAGAGCTGGGACCTCCATGGGACTCGGAGGAAGGAGTCAGGGCAAGGAAGACCTAGAAAGCCAGAGCCTTCAGCCCAGGGAGGGAATAAATCCCCAGAGCAATTGTCACGGGGCTCCAAAGCCCTGCCCTGGGCATGGGTGTGAGAGAAGCCGGGGTGATCAGAGTGGTCTGGGGACTCTGAGGCAGCCAGAGAGCAGCTAGGAATGTCTCAGATTCCTCCATGCCTCAAGCCTCCTGCAAGACAGCTCTAGCAGCACTGGGCTTTTCCAGTAGCCCAGCCACCCCAGTCTGTAGTGACAAGTGAGAATAATTCTCCTTGGAGGAAAACTGAGGCACAGAGCTTCAGCAGCTTTCACATCACATCAGTCAACAGTGGTTCTGGAAGCAGGATCTAGCACTCCTATGTCCACATGCCTCACCTGACCACTGGCCAAGTCATCATACCTGAAATTATTCAAATGCCTCCTGAAGAAATGATTCCCTAGCTCAAGTGCCAAAGGATAAGGGGAGGAGGGGAAAGGAATACCCCCACCCCACCGCCAAACCAGGAAATTAAAAAAAAATATCTGAAGACTATCAAGTCAGTTTCCTAGGAGCTTTTTTTTTAAAGCCCCATGTATTCTAGCTTTCATAATGAATTAAGAGATGTTTAATTTTATCTTTACATATACTCCTTGGCTCAAAGAATCTTCAGGACCTTAAAAGAGTCTCTAATCTTTTCAAAAAGGCAAGAATTTTCTACTACATCTCCTTCTGCCTGTGGTCATTGAGAATCTGAACAGACACTTCCAGAAAGCAGCCACTTACTACCTCCCTATATCATTTCTGCACCACTTACTTGTTGGGGAGGGAGGTCAGAAAATAAAGAAAGGAAGAAAGTGAGGAAAAAAAGAAAACATGATTTAAAAAATCAGTTGCTGTGTTTGTCACCACTGCTTGATTGGAGCCCTGTTTCATCTCTGAGGCAACCCGAGAATATTTCAAGCCGGTGATCACAAGACAAGGAGTCTAATCCATGTCGTCTTTAAGAGCCCGGCACCTTTTCATGTCCTAAGAAAAACGTCTGGGTGGCCCTGCCCCTTTTTTCCTGTTCCTATCCAGCCTTCCTTCTATATGTCCCCTGATACCCGAACGTACAAAAGAAAAAACAATAGCAGCAACACAATAATAAAAAGAAACAGAAAGAGGAGGGAAAAAAAGAAATAGAAAAAATGAGAGAATGGGAAAAACTCTCTCTGTTCTGGTATCAGTTCCTGGGGAGGATCATTTCCTCATGTCTCCCCTTTCAGGTTAGGAGCTCCTCTAGGCGGGACCCCGTTCCCATTCAGGTCCATGGCCTCCCATCTCCGCCCCTGACCCCCGGCCCGGGTCTGTGCTCCGCAGGCGCTCAGTAAGTGTTGCTGAATCCGTCTGAAGAGGCAATCGCGTTTCGATCGGAATCCCTGTCCCTGCTTCCCCAATTTGCTGTCCCCAGTCTGCCATCCAGCCTATTCCAAGGTAAAACTTGGCAGCGCGGAAACGTCCCAGCCGGGCTGACCACTGAGAAACGGCTGCGAGAGGCGGCTGGGCACGCAGAGCAACAAGTGCCGCCTCGCCCACTGGTGCCTCGCGGACCCCGGCCACCAGTTTCCGGTCCTGTCGCCCGTCCTTCGCTACAGACCTTCCCCTGGGCCGGCAGCCCCCTCCTGCTTAGATGGGGGTGGGGACGAGAGAGGAAGAAGAGAGAAGGGAGAGGCAGGTAGGGGGCCGCGTCTTTGACCTGTTGGGGGACCAAAAGTTAAAATGGCACCAACCGGATGGTTCCAACTCGATTGCTATTTTCTCACTCAGAGGGAGAAATTTAAAAATCCAAACAGTACTGCAGCTTGGCTTGGACGCGCTCTAACCAGACCAGTCAGTTTCGCCACCTGAAAACTAAAGGCCCGTTGTTTGCGGATAGCTCGGCCGCCCTCCTCGCCGCAGCCCAGGTGGAGGCGCCGGAGCTGGGGCGGCCGAGAGCATCCCTGCATGGTGGGCGCGAGCACCCAGGCGACCACAGGGCCCCAAGCGTCCGCTCCCGCAAATGCTGTACGAGGCACCTTTCGTAGAGACACGACAGACAGGCGGGTTGGGGCTCAGGGTCTCGGCCACAGAGGCGAGTTTGGGGCCCTGTTGTGTTTCCGCGCGCGGGGGCGCACTCGGGCGCCGGCGGCGGCCACTTCCGCGCCTCACCAACACTTACTGAGCGCTCGCTGAGTATTCGACGCGGCCGCAGGCTGAGCCTACCCCCTAGCCAAGCCGCCCATGGTCACTGCAATAACCCCGCTGCCGGCAGAGCGAGAAAGGCTAGGAGAGGTTCGGTAACTTGCCCATGGTCACAGCGCTACAAAGTGGCGGAGCCGGAGTTCGCAGCCAGGTCTGTGTGCCTCCAAGTCCCGCTCTCTGCGAGTCAGGGGCTCCGTGCGCGGCCGGGCCTCGCCGCCCTGGTTTATAGGGAGAGGGGTGTGTGCATGGGTGTGCGGGTGTGCGTGGGGTGGGGGTAAGAGCAGAGGTCGGCTGGGTAGTAGAGGCAAGTTGCCCAAATTCGCTAACTTCCATCCCGCAAATCCGCCGAACTCGGCCCGAAAAGCCCCTCTTGCCTCCGGCCCCCGAAGGAAACCTGAGCTTTGTGTAGCCCTGGAGCCAGAGGGTCCAGATGCGGTGTGGGCGATCAGCAAAGTCGGTGGCCACCAAGCTGGAGAAAGCGCGGGCGCGGGGAAAAAAGGTGCTGCTGTCTCCCAAGGAGAAGCGGACGCTTGGCCTGGCTGGCCCGCAGGCGGACGCGCTGGCGAGCGAAGCGACTCGCTGGCTGGAGGGCTGGCGGGTGGGCAGGCGGGGGCGCCTCCGCCCCCAGCCGAGCAGCTTTCAAACAGAAAACAAGTCCTTCGAAGCCCCCCGCCGCCTGCTCCCCACACCCGCTCCTCTGGAGTCCACGGCCCCGCAGCCCCGTCCAGCGTCCTGCCCGGCGGCCTGGCTTACCTCCACGAAGCCGCCTACCCTGGAGAGAGGGAATCGCGGAGCCGGGTGAAGCCGCGGGCGAAGCGGCGGAGCCCCCGGTCCCTGGCACGCACACCGCCACCACCGCCGCGAGCTGGTCGCGCTCCGTGCCCCCCTACCCCGGGGCGCCTGGGTAAAACCCGCACCGCCGCGCCGCCGCCGCACCGCACCGTGCCGCGCCAAACAGCCCCGGCTCGCGCCCGTTCCCGCCTGCCCGCCCGACCGCCCGCAGCTACGGCGTCTGACTCCGGGGCGGTGGCGGTAGTGGCCACCGCGCTCCCTTCCCGGGGCTGGCGACCCGGCTGTCAAGCCCCCACTGCCGCCCGGAGAGCCCTGACGCACACGCACACAGCAGCAGGCTGGCCTCGGCTGGGAATCCCAGGAAGGACAGACCCTTTTCCCCTTTTTTTCTCTCCCCCTAATTTCCACGTCTTTATAACCGGCTTAGGGCATTATTAGCACATGTCCTGGCTCGTGAGCGAGTTGGTGGCAAAATCTGAACTGGATACTCACCGAGGGCCAGAGCGAGTGGTGTGCCTTCCTCAGGCCTCTTCCTCTTCGCGGGGAATGACCCCTCGCAGGCGGACTGCGGGCGGGCACCCGGGCGGAGCGAGCCTCCTTTCGGCAGCTCAGCGGTGACCCTTTTGCAGCTCTGCCGCCGGGAGCATTTTATAGCGTGGCCCTTTAAAGGCGCTCGAGCTGGTGTAGTCACCGCGGATCGTGTGAAAGCGAAGGGCCGGCTGGGGAACGGAGTCAGAGAGGCCCCGCGGGTCCGGGAGCACCGGGGACTGGCCACAGCTCCCGGCGGGAGCTGGGTGGGCGCTGGCGTGCCCAGGCAGTGAGCACCCTGAGCCGTGAGCAGGCCGACGCCTGCGCTTCTAAAGCTGGCGGGGGCCCGGGCCCGGGACGCGCTCTCTCCCCACCGCCCTGCATGGACTTGCCCAATAAATTCCACTTAGTAATTTCGCTGAGGCGAGGGAGAACTGTTAATGTCTGTTTTCTGACCTAAATATAGCGGGTGGCCAGAGCGGGCTTCAGAGGGTTGGGGGGAGAACTACAGGCTGAGAGAATGACCCAGAGGAGGGGGACGAAGACGGGACGCGGTCCGCGGGGCATAGTTCGGGTTTTCTGCAGGGCTCTCTCCGAGCCTGTCTGTCCCCTTTGGGCTGCACCATCTCCCTTGTTGAAAGGCCGAGGCTGGGGGCGTTCCTTTCCCCTTAAAAGTCGCTGGATTCTGGGCAGAGATTTATGGAGGGCCGATCTGGCGGTTGTGGCTTCCCTCGAACACCTGAGCCAGGTTGGGTTCGAGGGATTCTCTCTTGTGGTCATCCAGGGCGGAAGGAGGCTGGCGGGATGCGATGCAGAGATCTGTTGTCCTCCCGGACGGCGGGGCCAGGTGCAGCTCACTAGACAAGCTGAAAAGCCACGAACCGGCAGCAGGGAACAAAGAGCGTACTCCAGCACTCGCGGATTCCTCCTACGTTCCCATCGTGCCAGGTTATCTTACTAAGATTATATAATCATTCCCATCTAGCAAGGATAGCATTTTGCATCTGGAGCACATCTTCCTCAGGTTGGGACACTATTTTACAAACCTTTATGGGAAAGAGGTCCGTGTCTTCATCTTGGTTCGAGTTCCTTGTGGCCAACAAACTCCCATCTCACCTCTTACAGGAAGGCCATCAGGATTATCTCTTTACCAAACTCCCTTTTTTGGCCCCTGAAGCAACAACTACTCAGTTTACACTGTTTATAAAACATTCTCTTTATAAAGAGTCCTGATGTTAAGGAAAACAGTGGGGGAGGGAATGTCATGAAGTCATTTTCACTATGTATGTGTTCTGACTTCTTCATTGGATTTGAAACCTAAGAGTCTTCCCTCCCTCCCTCTCCCCTCCCCTTCCTTTAATTTCCTTTCTTCTTCTTCTTCTTCTTCTTCTTCTTCTTCTTCTTCTTCTTCTTCTTCTTCTTCTTCTTCTTCTTCTTCTTCTTCTTCTTCTTCTTCTTCTTCTTTTTTTTTAAGTATCCCCACGTGCCCTGCATTTTGTTCTTCTAACAAAGTTCTGTTTGTTGACGGACTGACCGGCTTACTGACGTAAAGATGCTGTGCAGAGGGACTGATCAAGGCCCTTCCTTGACACCTGGAGGAAGCCGGGGCGAATGCTCTGGACGTCATGTAAACCCATTGCCCAACCCCTAAAGCTGCCTTGTCCGTCTCCATTGCCTCCCCTCACTCTGTCCCAACACAAACTCCAGTAATGACCACACCTCACACATCATCGCTGCGTTTTCTCACTTTGCCCAAAGATTGTGGGTCGTGCCCCGTTTCCCTGATAAAAAGTGAGACCTGTCAGGACCCTAAAATGCTACAGAGTTTGCATGTGAAAAACCAAACATCTTTGGTTTGCATGTGAAACACCAAACATTTTGGTGTTTGCCTGAAGTGAACGACCCTAGGCTTTATAACTGTAAGTTGCTAATTTGGACCTCCGACCTACCCTCCCCCTCCGAGTCCCCCGCTGCGGAGCCGCTCTAGAAACGGCGGCTGCTGCTGTGCTGCAGGCTCCGGATCCGGGAGGCGGCGGATCCGCCCTCCATCTATTGGATGGTTCCCAGGCCAATTGTTAGAAAGAGGCATATGTTCTTCTCTGCTTCTGGAGTGTCTCCGGAGCAGTTGCTCAACAGCCAGCCCCCTCCCCCATCCGGACCATTGAAGGGCAGAAAAAGGAGTGCCCTCCGCCACATTTCTCTGTGCCCACATGCCAGAAAGGGTCTCGCACTGGTAGTTTCCTGTCATCTTCACGGTCTACCTCCTGGGGAGCAGGAAAGTGAGGGGCTTCAAGCATTCAGCTTTGGAGCACAAAAGCCATCTCTTTCCTTTTGAGGGAGATGGGAGAGGTTAGCAAAGAGGCAGGGAGAGAGCAAAGGAGACATTTGCATTTTTCTGCAAATATGCTCTGGATCACAGACTTCTCATTAGGCTATAGCCCAGCTCAGAGCTCTCCGCTGAACTCTTATCTCCAACTTGGCAACTAGACCAGGAGCTCCACAGGAAAGGAGAGGACAGAGATGGTCACACAGCAAGAACCTTCTATGCACCAGAATTGGGCCTGGCATGTTCCCAACCATCATGTCATTTAATTCCCACGACAGTCCTGTGAGGTAGGGTTTACCAAAGGTGACATGAAGTCCCAGAGATTTGCCCACGTGCACACAGCCAGGAGGCCAGATGTTGGAATCCAGTCAGGCTGACTGTAGAGTCCTTACTCTCACCCCTTCAACTTGCTGCCTGGGACCGTGCGGAGATCCTCTAGACTGGTGGTCAAGAGTACAGGTTCAGAGGTCAGTCCACTTGAGTTTAAATTCCTACTCTGCTACTAGCTTTATAATCGTAGGCTAAGTGGCTTCATTCTTTGGGCCTCGGTTTTCCCATTTGTTAAATGGGGATAGTAATGGTAGCAACTCTGGGGGTCGTTGCAAGGATCAGAAGGAAAAGCTTAGCCTGGTTGGTGCCTGCTGTGTAGTAAGAGGTCAATAATGCTGTTATTGTGCCTTTTGGTTCTTTTCCTTCAGCTTTGGAGCACAAAAGCCATCCCTTTACTTTTGAGGGAGATGGCTTGCCTTGCCTTAGCTCACAGACTTCGGGTTCAAGAACACTTGCCAAGACTGATTACTTTAAAAAACCAGGTTGAGAGGGGATGAAGGAGGTAGGTCTATAAACTCAGGAAGGGGGCAGATAGGAAAATGCAGATTTATTCTCAAAATTCCATCTTCCTGAACCAAGGGCTGCCTTAGCCATATGACAGGAGTAAATTAGGGACCAATAAAAGATGGTCACTTTTTACAGGAAATCCCATAAACATACAGAGTGGTCTCCAGAAACATAGACAATATGTGTGTAGAAAAGTTAAAAAGCACAAGTCTTTGTTCAAGAATGTTTGGAGCAGAATTTTTCATAATACTGAGAAATGGAAAGCAATCTAAATGTCCATTTAAGGGAGTATCCTTTGGTACCTTGACACTAAAATAAATAAATAAATAAAATCCTGATTTCAAAACCTCTTTTATTCATGGGAAAATGCTCACAACAAAATACTTCAAAAAATGCTGGGTACAAAGTTGCATATATATGATGCCAAGTCGCAAAGGGCAGGAAGAGTAGAAAATGAAATACTTTGTTTCTAGCCATGTATGACTATAAGGAAGCAGTTAGTCAAACCAATAATAGTATTGGTAGGGTGGTAGAACCATGAGTGATTTTTGTTTCTCTTTTCTCCATGTTATGCAATATCATTATATTATTATTATAAATTAAATGTAACTTCATAGTTAATGAACTGCATAAGCAGTATGCTCCCACTTCTGTTAAAATTATATGTGTATAGAAAAAATTTTGGAAGTAAATACACCTAAATGTTCACAGAGATTATAATGGAGTAGTGGGATTACGGGCGGTATTTTTCTTTATTATTTGTGATATGGTTATATTGATTTCTTACAATTAAAACATTCATAATTTGAAAAATTCATAATGAGAATAATCCCATGTGTATTAAAGTATGTACGTAAGTTGAAAAAAATGGAAAGGAAATATATTAAAATATTAACAGTTTTTATACTAGGTGGTAAAGGATTATGGGTAATTTCCCCTCTTGATTTTTCTGCAGTATGATTTTCTTACTTTTATAATTAAAATAACATACCGGCAAATGGCACATACAATAGAATTCTACTTTGGATAAAAAATATATGTATGTGCATAGAATAAATAATAAACTTCTCCAAAATGTGATTATCTTTGGGTGGTGGGGTTATCGGTGACTTCTGTTTTCTTCTTTATACATGATTTTCTCATTTTACAAATTTGCTAGATACCATGTATTATTATTATTACTTTTTATTTTGGTATAATTAATCTACAATTGCATAAGGAACATTATGTTTACTAGACTCCCACCATCACCAAGTCACCCACACAAACCCCATTACAGTCACTGTCCATCAGCGTAGTAAGATGCTGTAGAATCACTACTTTTCTTCTCTGTGTTGCAGTTCTCCCCATGATCCCCTCCACATTATGCATGCTATTTGTAATGCCCCCTTTCTTTTTTTCCCCCCTTATCCCTCCCTTCCCAGCCATCCTCCCCAGTCTCTTTCCCTTTGGTAACTGTTAGTCCATTCTTGGGCTCTGTGTTTTTGCTGTTGTTTTGTTCCTTCAGTTTTTTCTTTGTTCTTATATTCCACATATGAGTGAAATTATTTGGTATTTGTCTTTCTCTGCCTGGCTTATTTCACTGAGCATAATACCCTCTAGCTCTATCCATGTTGTTGC